GTGTTATTCAATGCGCCCAAATAGCACAACATTTATATTGCCTGGTCCACTCTGAATAACATGACCTTAAGGAAAATGATTATTTTCTTGGAGTAACAAATTTTTTTTTTTCTATTAAACAAGGATATGCAGGCTAATTCATCTGTGAAGTTTCGGAGCCATGTCATCCAGTGAGCGAATCACGGAGACTTGTCATCACGGACTATCCAAAACCAATTAAAATATAAATTAATTATATTTTTTTGCACGCTTTCTCCAATATAAAAACTTATGGAATTGTTATAGGAGGTAACAAAAGTTTAAGATCTTTATAAGTTCAATTTTGAAAAATGTAGATTGGTGCCACTGGTAACAAATGTTACCAGGTAACGAAGCAGGGCGGTAACGCGTAGGAAAATCCCACCGCTGACACCATCAGATTGTTACAAACCAGAATTTATTTATTGTTTAAAAATTGAGCTTTTGAGATGGCTCTAAATTCTAATTTGGGGAGGCACCAAGCTGCCAAGGTCTGAAGGACCTTGTTTAATTTGCAGGAACGTTATCCTACTTTTAAAAGAAACCTGCGATGCTTCGTTTGATTTATAAATTTAATTCTTTTGACTTTAATTAGTTCAGGAGTTTTAAACAAAGTAAATCAGATTTAGTATTTTAAATGGCAACATTTATTTAAACATTATTTCAGAACAGAATGCAAAGGAGTTAACAAAACTTGCTAATGTTTGTGTTGGAGGATATAAAATTTGTATAAAGATTAGACATTGGAACAATACAGAATTACTTACGTATATTTTCTTAATCCTACCGACAGGGCATAATTCCTTTTAGACGCGGCGCAGGCGCTACGCGCGCGGACTGGCCGGTTGAGGAACAGGGATCCTCCGTCGGGCAAAATACAGTTGAGAAGGTTGAAAATTTAGTCGTCTATGCGACTAATTTTCTTTTTCACGAACTCGCGAATTTTGTAAAGAAGAGAGTCTTCTTTAGTTTTGTGGGACCACTGAATTGAGACGGCGCAGGTACTACACGTACGGACTGGCCGGTTAAAAACAAGATTTTCAAATTGTTTAATATTTAATTAACTGAAACCTCACTCAACACAGCTCGCACTGGAATCCGTCGGTTAGAAGATTCTATTTTATTTTTTCGTCCGCCTTTCGTATTATACTAGTTTTTTCGCTGAGTTCTATACGGGGGTCCGACGCGCAGACGGGCTTAGTCTCGGCATTTCCTACTTTCTTGCGATCAACAGATCTGCAAGGCCGCAGCCGGGACAGGTGTTGATCGCTTGAAGAGGAAAATTGTACAGCAGCGATGGAAATATCGCGACAAGCCTCTACTCCTTGTCCTGTTGTCAAAGTGGGATAAATTTGTCAACTAAGGATTTTTAGAATTATAAGTAGGGGAATTCTTCAGGCCCATTGGACTTTGCACTATGCTGACGTTTCAGATTGCATGCAGTTTTCGTGAGAACGGAAACGGCGTTGTTAATTTGATACTTATCAGAAACAATTTTTTTATAACTAAATATATAAATTATAATTATATTGTAAAGAAAGAATTTTTTTTATTTATAATTATAATTTATTTATAGTTATAAATGTTTAATATAAGTTGTATAAATAACGTTATATTTGTCCTACATTTTATAAGTTACTAGTATATGTATTTTGCATTCATAATTATACATATACACATATACATGCAACTTACAGTCCTCCGGCATTTTATTGTTAACAATAAGTTACAATAAAATGTTTAGCTATTATCAAATTATTTTCTGTAAATTTGGAATAGTGCATAAAACGAATAAAATATATACGCTTCATAAAGCGTTGAGTCAGCCTCCAAATGCATGTGCATTTGTTATGATATTCTAGTCCCTAAGTTTGTAGGCCCAAAGGGGAAAAAGAAAGGAGAGACAAGAAAAGACAATAGGAGAGACAAGGCAATGAGCAGAGGCATGTGTAGCATGATTGTGTGTGTGCCCGTAACGCGAAGAACTCAAGGGTGTGGTCGTGTTAGATCTTGTAGCCAGCGGAATCAGTGGATGTGCACGTATACACCTAGGTCGTCTCAATGCATATGTGTGAAATGCATTACCTTTAATTATTTTCAAATAGAGGTTTCTTTTATTATATAAAATTTTAAGTATTAATAATGTTTATAAATTTATGCATATAATTTATAAACAATATTATAAAATATATAGGAATTTATGTTTTATAAATTCTGCCCTATCTTTTGTAGCTTTATTAAAAAGAAAAATAATAATAAAATAGTACCTGTTAAGTACCTTGTACGTAACACTTCGAAACCTTCGACTGCTCTTTGAACAGCCTTCGACATTATCCGATTTCGTTAAAAAATAAAGAAAATATTTTTTATAATTGCAAATAATTATTTATGACATTATAATTGTTGATAAATACTTTTTAAAATGTAATTGATTGTTTATAAGTAAATAATTAATTATCAAATTTAATGGTTTTTAACATTTGAAAAATTCAATCGACTACTCTTCGAATGGTCTTCGAAACCTTCGACTGCTCTTTGAACAGCCTTCGACATTATCCGATTTCGTTAAAAAATATAGAAAATATTTTTATAACTGCAAATAATTATTTATGACATAATAATTGTTAATAAATATTTTAAAAAATATAATTGATTGTTTAAAAATAAATAATTAATTATCAAATTTAATGGTTTTTAATATTTGAAAAATTCAATCGACTACTCTTCGAATGGTCTTCGAAACCTTCGACTGCTCTTTGAACAGCCTTCGACATTATCCGATTTCGTTAAAAAATATAGAAAATATTTTTTATAATTGCAAATAATTATTTATGACATTATAATTGTTAATAAATACTTTTTAAAATGTAATTGATTGTTTATAAATAAATAATTAATTATCAAATTTAATGGTTTTTAACATTTGAAAAATTTAGTCGACTACTCTTCGAATGGTCTTCGAAACCTTCGACTGCTCTTTGAACAGCCTTCGACATTATCCGATTTCGTTAAAAAATATAGAAATTATTTTTATAACTGCAAATAATGATTTATGACATAATAATTGTTAATAAATATTTTAAAAAATATAATTGATTGTTTAAAAATAAATAATTAATTATCAAATTTAATGGTTTTTAACATTTGAAAAATTCAATCGACTACTCTTCGAATGGTCTTCGAAACCTTCGACTGCTCTTTGAACAGCCTTCGACATTATCCGATTTCGTTAAAAAATATAGAAAATATTTTTTATACTTGCAAATAATTATTTATGACATTATAATTGTTAATAAATACTTTTTAAAATGTAATTGATTGTTTATAAATAAATAATTAATTATCAAATTTAATGGTTTTTAACATTTGAAAAATTCAGTCGACTACGCTTCGAATGGTGTTCGAAACCTTCGCTTGCTCTTTAAAAAGCCTTCGACATTATCTGATTTCGATAAAAAATATGGAAAATATTTTTATAATTCCAAATAATTATTTATGACATAATAATTGTTAATAAATACTCTTTAAAATGTAATTGATTGTTTATAAATAAATAATTAATTATCAAATTTAATAGTTTTTAACATTTAAAAAATTCAATCCACATCTCTTCGAATGGCCTTCGAAACCTTTGACTGCTCTTTAAACAGCCTTCGACATTATCCGATTTCGTTATAAAATATAGATAACATTATTTTTCTAACTTGCAAATAATTATTTATGACATAATTATTTTTAATGAATATTGTAAAAAATTTAATTGATTGTTTATAAGTAAATAATTAATTATCAAATTTAATGGTTTTTAACATTTGAAAAATTCAGTCGACTACTCTTCGAATGGTCTTCGAAACCTTCGACTGCTCTTTGAACAGCCTTCGACATTATCCGATTTCGTTGAAAAATATAGAAAATATTTTTATAACTGCAAATAATTATTTATGACATAATAATTGTTAATAAATATTTTAAAAAATATAATTGATTGTTTAAAAATAAATAATTAATTATCAAATTTAATGGTTTTTAACATTTGAAAAATTCAATCGACTACTCTTCGAATGGTCTTCGAAACCTTCGACTGCTCTTTGAACAGCCTTCGACATTATCCGATTTCGTTAAAAAATATAGAAAATATTTTTTATAATTGCAAATAATTATTTATGACATTATAATTGTTAATAAATACTTTTTAAAATGTAATTGATTGTTTATAAATAAATAATTAATTATCAAATTTAATGGTTTTTAACATTTGAAAATTCAGTCGACTACTCTTCGAATGGTGTTCGAAACCTTCGCTTGCTCTTTAAAAAGCCTTCGACATTATCTGATTTCGATAAAAAATATGGAAAATATTTTTATAATTCCAAATAATTATTTATGACATAATAATTGTTAATAAATACTCTTTAAAATGTAATTGATTGTTTATAAATAAATAATTAATTATCAAATTTAATAGTTTTTAACATTTAAAAAATTCAATCCACATCTCTTCGAATGGCCTTCGAAACCTTTGACTGCTCTTTAAACAGCCTTCGACATTATCCGATTTCGTTATAAAATATAGATAACATTATTTTTCTAATTTGCAAAGAATTATTTATGACATAATTATTTTTAATGAATATTTTGTAAAAAATTTAATTGATTGTTTATAAGTAAATAATTAATTATCAAATTTAATGGTTTTTAACATTTGAAAAATTCAGTCGACTACTCTTCGAATGGTCTTCGAAACCTTCGACTGCTCTTTGAACAGCCTTCGACATTATCCGATTTCGTTAAAAAATATAGAAAATATTTTTATAACTGCAAATAATTATTTATGACACAGTGGCGTAACTACAAGTTAAGGGGCCCTAGACAAAAAAGTTCGAGGGGCCCCCAATGAAACGCATATATATATATATATATATATATATATATATATATATATATATATATATAAAATAAAAATAACTTTTTTATTTTAAGTTCTACACTTGTTTTCTGCGAATTTTTGTTTCAGCAAAATTGTCTATAATTGTATCAAGATCGTTTCGTAAATCGTTAGCAAGTTTGTATTCAATAGAGAGAATACTTAAATTACTTAAGCGCTCTTGAGACATGCTATTGCGCAAATAGTTTTTTATTAATTTCATTTTAGAAAATGACCGTTTAGCCGAAGCAACTGTAACAGGAATAGTCAAAAACAAAATCAAAACTGTGCAAACTTCTGGAAAACTGGTAGATAAAGCAGCATTCTCAATTATCAGAAGATTCGCTAGTTCCTTAATTGAGTTAAGTTTAGTAATTTTATCCTTGAGACAAGTTCGCAAGGTGATTAATTGCTCAGGAAACATGTCACTAATATCCTCTGGGTATTTTTCAAGAAGTTTTTGTGCTTCTTTGTACAAATCCCGATCCGTCATTTGTATTAATTGTTGAGGCTGAATAACTCGGAAAGTACTAGTTATCTCGTTCAAACCTGAAATACATTCCTGCATTTAATTTCAAAAAACATTAAAATTTTCACACAAAGGAGTAATGTTATACGAACCTGCAAATCGTTTAGAAAGTTGTGTGCAAATAATATCCAAGCATTTGTAAAAAATATTTACTCTGAATCGTGATTCCCCGTCAGTAAGTCTTTCATCTTCACACAATTCGTCGAAATGTCTTTTGGTTTTCATTACGCGTTTTTTACTAAACTCTACCTTTACTTTCCAATTAGCACTCAAAATAATTGCATTATTTTTTGCAGTTTCATAGCTGTTTCGAAATTCTTTTAGTTCTTGATGAGCTTGCATTAGCAGCGAAGTCGCTTGAAAAATGTCAATATCTAATTTTTGAAGAGTTTTCGAAACCGCATTTGTTGTTGTCAATATTTTGGAATGCAGAATCACTTGAAAAACAAATTCAAATTTCTCCATTTCTTTTTTCAAACTCTGTGCTCTGTTTCGTTCTTCCGTAGATTTACTGATCAAAATAATTTTTGATAAAGCTTGCACAATGTCGTTATATCGAAAAGCAATAGCTTGTAATGCATTATCCCTTGAAGACCACCGAGTTGGACAAAGACGTTTAAGTTTTAATGCAGAATGCTTTTCATTTTTCTGTAAGAAGGATGATAATAAGTCCCACCTTTTGATACTATTAGCAAAGAAGACATATATGGACTCAATCCAATTATAAAAGTTTCGGACTTCTGATATTCCTTCAACTGAATCGTTAAGGACTAAATTTAAGTTATGAGCACAGCAGTGTACATAAGTAGCGTTATCTTGTTTTTCGAGAATTCTCTTTTCAACTCCAGTATAAATCCCACTCATAACTCGCGCACCATCATATCCTTGTCCACGACATTTATGAATATTTATCCCTTTTGCTTCTATTCCAGTAATAATTTTAGATACTAATCCAGCAGCAGTTTGATCATCCACTTTTTCAAAACCCAGAAACGATTCTATGACATTAATCTTCTTTGGTTTTCCTGTTTGATCTTTCTCAATTTGTACGTAGCGGAATATTTGACTAAGTTGATCAACTTTAGTGATGTCTTGTGTTGTGTCCATTATTATAGAAAAGAAAGGTGCTTCTTTAATGGCATTAGTGATTTTATTTTCAACAGTTTTAGATAACAAATCAATTAACTCATTTTGAATTTGTGGACTCAAGTATCGTGTCGAGTTCTCAGGTTTCAAAATGAGTTCTTTTAAAACTGGATCATAAATTGCAAGCATTTCCACTATTGATAAAAAGATACCGTTGTGACCTATGTCTCCTATACATTCTCGATGGCCTCTAAAAGGAAGGTTACAAGTTGATAATGTTAAAATTACATTTATAATCCTGTGTAAAACATTTCTCCAAAAGTTATTTTCTTTTAATGTTTGTTCTTCAAGATAATTATTAATATTCTTTTTGTCTCGCCATAATTCAAACAGAATACATGCATCAAAATGAATCTTTGAGCTTTCGTGTAATTTGATTTTATTGCTTAATTTCGTCCAGTTACTCACTCCATCGATCCAAGTCAATTGAAAATTGGGTTGTCCTCTATCTGCAAACAACCAGCATGCTTCACAATAAGCACAATCAAGAATCATCGAGTAACATAACCAAGTTCTAGGAATTTTAACTCCAGCTTTATTGGTCATTTCGTAAAAATACGATGAAAAATGCGAATTTGTTTCCTTATTCTTAGGAAAAGGCCCTGCAGGTCGACATGAACCGTTAGAAATCACAAACTTTTTATGATCTGCAGTTAAAATTTCAGGAAAATGTCCTTTGTCTGTTGGATTCGGCTTCGACAACAAATCAATTACCCATGGGAGGTTAGGGACATGAAATTTATTCTCTTCATTATTGATTATAGATATATTTTCATAATTATTGCTTGCAATATCTGAGCCACTGGCCACAGTGCTGGAAACTTCTATCGATTCTTCAGTGACTAAATTATTATTTTTGATAGAATTTGAAGTATCTTGAAGATTATTAGTATGAGTATCATTTTCAATTTGACTTTCAATTTCATTTGAGTATGGTTTCAAAAAAGATGTTATTGGATTTAGTTTTTTGATAGATGCTTCTATTTCACTCTTTAGTTTTCTTTTCTTTGCACCGCTCGGATAAATACGTTTACTGCTACTCATTTTAAATATCAATTGCGAATTCTTCTTTTAAGACAATAATAAAATAAGTTAACCAAATGGATTCAATTTGTTAACGTACGTCTTATTTCCTACTATGGAATTACGTATATCAGATGCAATGTTTATCATAGGTTATTTTAACGAAACAATAATAATCGATGAAATCATGTCAGAAAAAATTGCACTAGCTACATTTTCAGCATTACATGGTGACATTTAACAATGGAGAATTGCTCGACGTAACCCCTAAATAAAAAATGATAATAATTAATAATAGTCTATTTTCCTTTGATATTGATATGTTTATACTATTGCATTTTTAATATTAATACATTTGTTACCTTTTATGTAAAATACTAAACTTCAGATATTGCAAATAACAAATTTAAGCTAATGTTATTAAAATAGATAAATTCGTAAAGATGAACAAATATTTTTAAAACAGAACTGTTGATATTCTGTTCGCTCATGTGACCATTATAATTTCAATTGTATAACAAAATAAACCTTATATTATGAGTTGTGAGGTTATATTTTATATGTTGTAAAATAGTTACATAAATTATAAAAAAACATATAAATACATAGAAAACTCAAAATATCTAAATAATCGAAGTAAACAATTGAATCAATAACATTTACCTATATATTATTAACAAATAATTCGCAAGTTATATTATTAAAGTGCACTTTACTAAAAATACTTGAATTTGTAGTCGACACACACAAGGTAATGTCACCTCGCAGCCTATGAACAGGGTTGGGTAGTGCAGGAAAACTAGAGGTTTTTAAGTGTGTTACATACCTAAATATACCTGTGATTGCGTGATACGACATTTTGCAAATCGCATATTACGTATAATAGAACGTCTACAATAAGTGCAAAAAGACGAGCACAGGTGCGAATTAAAGGTGCCTGCCTGCAGGTTGTCATGGTAACACATAAGAGTAAGGGTGCGATCACATGTGAGCAGAATACGTCGACCGAAAGCAGAAAATCATGAGAGTGAAAAGAACAAAAATATCTGCCTATCTCTTTTGCACTCATGATTTTCTGCTTTCGGTCGACGTATTTTGCTCTAGTTGCGGCTGCCGAGCTGTGACCGTGCCATAATAGATTTTGGTCAGAGATCGCACTTGCTTTGATCGCATCTTATTATATATAAGTTATTAAGTATATTATTATTAGAAGTATAACAAACATTAAAACTCGGAACCAGTTTATTACCATTTTGCTGCATATAAAGAAAATCAATTTTATCCTTTTTGGGGGCCCCTAAATCGCCGGGGCCCCGGACAATCTAACCCCCCAAACCACCTATTGCTACGCCACTGTTATGACATAATAATTGTTAATAAATATTTTAAAAAAATATAATTGATTGTTTAAAAATAAATAATTAATTATCAAATTTAATTGTTTTTAACATTTGAAAAATTCAATCGACTACTCTTCGAATGGTCTTCGAAACCTTCGACTGCTCTTTGAACAGCCTTCGACATTATCCGATTTCGTTAAAAAATATAGAAAATATTTTTTATAATTGCAAATAATTATTTATGACATTATAATTGTTAATAAATACTTTTTAAAATGTAATTGATTATTTATAAATAAATAATTAATTATCAAATTTAATGGTTTTTAACATTTGAAAAATTCAGTCGACTACTCTTCGAATGGTCTTCGAAACCTTCGCTTGCTCTTTAAAAAGCCTTCGACATTATCTGATTTCGATAAAAAATATGGAAAATATTTTTATAATTGTAAATAATTATTTATGCCATAATAATTGTTAATAAGTATTTTGAAAAATATAATTGATTGTTTATAAATAAATAATTAATTATCAAATTTAATGGTTTTTAACATTTGAAAAATTCAATCGACTACTCTTCGAATGGTCTTCGAAACCTTCGACTGCTCTTTGAACAGCCTTCGACATTATCCGATTTCGTTAAAAAATATAGAAATTATTTTTATAACTGCAAATAATTATTTATGACATAATAATTGTTAATAAATATTTTAAAAAATATAATTGATTGTTTATAAATAAATAATTAATTATCAAATTTAATGGTTTTTAACATTTGAAAAATTCAGTCGACTACTCTTCGAATGGTCTTCGAAACCTTCGCTTGCTCTTTAAAAAGCCTTCGACATTATCCGATTTCGTTAAAAAATATAGAAATTATTTTTATAACTGCAAATAATTATTTATGACATAATAATTGTTAATAAATATTTTAAAAAATATAATTGATTGTTTAAAAATAAATAATTAATTATCAAATTTAATGGTTTTTAACATTTGAAAAATTCAGTCGACTACTCTTCGAATGGTCTTCGAAACCTTCGACTGCTCTTTGAACAGCCTTCGACATTATCCGATTTCGTTAAAAAATATAGAAAATATTTTTTATAATTGCAAATAATTATTTATTACATTATAATTGTTAATAAATACTTTTTAAAATGTAATTGATTGTTTATAAATAAATAATTAATTATCAAATTTAATGGTTTTTAACATTTGAAAAATTCAGTCGACTACTCTTCGAATGGTCTTCGAAACCTTCGCTTGCTCTTTAAAAAGCCTTCGACATTATCTGATTTCGATAAAAAATATGGAAAATATTTTTATAATTGTAAATAATTATTTATGCCATAATAATTGTTAATAAGTATTTTGAAAAATATAATTGATTGTTTATAAATAAATAATTAATTATCAAATTTAATGGTTTTTAACATTTGAAAAATTCAATCGACTACTCTTCGAATGGTCTTCGAAACCTTCGACTGCTCTTTGAACAGCCTTCGACATTATCCGATTTCGTTAAAAAATATAGAAAATATTTTTTATAATTGCAAATAATTATTTATTACATTATAATTGTTAATAAATACTTTTTAAAATGTAATTGATTGTTTATAAATAAATAATTAATTATCAAATTTAATGGTTTTTAACATTTGAAAAATTCAGTCGACTACTCTTCGAATGGTCTTCGAAACCTTCGCTTGCTCTTTAAAAAGCCTTCGACATTATCTGATTTCGATAAAAAATATGGAAAATATTTTTATAATTGTAAATAATTATTTATGCCATAATAATTGTTAATAAGTATTTTGAAAAATATAATTGATTGTTTATAAATAAATAATTAATTATCAAATTTAATGGTTTTTAACATTTGAAAAATTCAATCGACTACTCTTCGAATGGTCTTCGAAACCTTCGACTGCTCTTTGAACAGCCTTCGACATTATCCGATTTCGTTAAAAAATAAAGAAATTATTTTTATAACTGCAAATAATTATTTATGACATAATAATTGTTAATAAATATTTTAAAAAATATAATTGATTGTTTATAAATAAATAATTAATTATCAAATTTAATGGTTTTTAACATTTGAAAAATTCAGTCGACTACTCTTCGAATGGTCTTCGAAACCTTCGCTTGCTCTTTAAAAAGCCTTCGACATTATCCGATTTCGTTAAAAAATATAGAAATTATTTTTATAACTGCAAATAATTATTTATGACATAATAATTGTTAATAAATATTTTAAAAAATATAATTGATTGTTTAAAAATAAATAATTAATTATCAAATTTAATGGTTTTTAACATTTGAAAAATTCAATCGACTACTCTTCGAATGGTCTTCGAAACCTTCGACTGCTCTTTGAACAGCCTTCGACATTATCCGATTTCGTTAAAAAATATAGAAAATATTTTTTATAATTGCAAATAATTATTTATTACATTATAATTGTTAATAAATACTTTTTAAAATGTAATTGATTGTTTATAAATAAATAATTAATTATCAAATTTAATGGTTTTTAACATTTGAAAAATTCAGTCGACTACTCTTCGAATGGTCTTCGAAACCTTCGCTTGCTCTTTAAAAAGCCTTCGACATTATCTGATTTCGATAAAAAATATGGAAAATATTTTTATAATTGTAAATAATTATTTATGCCATAATAATTGTTAATAAGTATTTTGAAAAATATAATTGATTGTTTATAAATAAATAATTAATTATCAAATTTAATGGTTTTTAACATTTGAAAAATTCAATCGACTACTCTTCGAATGGTCTTCGAAACCTTCGACTGCTCTTTGAACAGCCTTCGACATTATCCGATTTCGTTAAAAAATATAGAAATTATTTTTATAACTGCAAATAATTATTTATGACATAATAATTGTTAATAAATATTTTAAAAAATATAATTGATTGTTTATAAATAAATAATTAATTATCAAATTTAATGGTTTTTAACATTTGAAAAATTCAGTCGACTACTTTTCGAATGGTCTTCGAAACCTTCGCTTGCTCTTTAAAAAGCCTTCGACATTATCCGATTTCGTTAAAAAATATAGAAATTATTTTTATAACTGCAAATAATTATTTATGACATAATAATTGTTAATAAATATTTTAAAAAATATAATTGATTGTTTAAAAATAAATAATTAATTATCAAATTTAATGGTTTTTAACATTTGAAAAATTCAATCGACTACTCTTCGAATGGTCTTCGAAACCTTCGACTGCTCTTTGAACAGCCTTCGACATTATCCGATTTCGTTAAAAAATATAGAAAATATTTTTTATAATTGCAAATAATTATTTATTACATTATAATTGTTAATAAATACTTTTTAAAATGTAATTGATTGTTTATAAATAAATAATTAATTATCAAATTTAATGGTTTTTAACATTTGAAAAATTCAGTCGACTACTCTTCGAATGGTGTTCGAAACCTTCGCTTGCTCTTTAAAAAGCCTTCGACATTATCTGATTTCGATAAAAAATATGGAAAATATTTTTATAATTGTAAATAATTATTTATGACATAATAATTGTTAATAAATAATTTTTTAAATTTGATTGATTGTTTATAAGTAAATAATTAATTATCAAATTTAATGGTTTTTAACATTTGAAAAATTCAAACGACTACTCTTCGAA